ACACACACCCACACACACACACACACACACCTCTACACACACACACACACACATACCTCTACACAAACACACACACACCTCTACACACACACTAACACTCACAAACCTTTCTCAAATCATGCGTCATTCTCAGTGGATATGAAATGACACAACAGACTCATAAAGCCATAAATGTTCAGGACAGGACAGGACAAGAGCTCTATAAATGTGATTCAAACACAATCTGTTCTCTACTACAGACATTTACTGAGAGATGGAGTGTTTTTCAGCATAAAACTAATATTACTGTTTCAGATTCCAAGTGTGTGGTACATCTATATACTGTTAAAGAACACAAACTTTGTCCAAATATGTATGTATTCTCATTCATGCACCTCACATTGTTAAAAGGTGCACACAAAATCAGGCTTCTGGGAGAAACTAAATGATTAAACAACTCGAAAGAAATTCATCAACCTAAAGAGTTACTGAAAAATCCCCAGAACTCGGTGTTTCCAGCTTTGTGGTGTTGGTGTGCGTTTAGTAAAGAATGATGGCTATGGGCCAAAATTATTGCATTTAAGTATACTTGACTTATACTTGACTTATAATATATTTGAGCTATACTTGTGCTCCGAGAATGTTTTCATTGTTATACTGTAGGGGGCGCTAGTACACTTCTTCTGTACAGAATATCCAAAACACAAATAAACTAGTACTTTACTGAGACTATACTTCAAAGTGTACTAAAAATGCTACTACGGGTATTTAATTAGTAAACTATCAGTATACCTATAAGTTCACTTTTGCAGTGCAAGCTAAAAACATATATGTAAACTAGTTGTGTACTCAAAGTTTACTACTGTTATACTTAAAGTATACTTTTATGTACTAGAAAGTGGGCCAATTTAGTCCCAAGGAGTATCGAAATAGTACATTTACAAGTATACTACTAGTACACTGATATTTGTATACTCACTACATAAAGTATACTTAAAAATATACTTGAACTTTACTTAAGTATACTTAATAAAATAAACTTGAAGTATACTACTTTTTGGTAAGGGATGTCAAACAGACGTTTAGAAGATGTCTTTAAGATGTTTACAAATCCTAGAAACGTGGCTTTCTAAGGAAAGTGAGTGAGTGAGTGAGTGAGTGAGTGTGTGAGTGTGTGAGTGAGTGAGTGTGTGTGTGAGAGTGAGTGTGTG